TCTGAGGGACAGGCAGCCCGGCCTTATGAGGGACAGGCTCCCGGCCTTCTGAGGGACAGGCTCCCGGCCCTCTGAGGGACAGGCTCCCGGCCTTCTGAGGGACAGGCGACCCGGCCCTCTGAGGGACAGGCAGCCCGGCCTTATGAGGGACAGCCAGCCCGGCCTTATGAAGGACATTTTAAAGCCAGGGACAAACCAGCCAGAACCAGAAGCTGAAAACATCTAGGCCCAAGGTTGGACTGTCAGGAGGTGGAGGGGACAGAGGGCTGGGAGGGGACAGAGGGCTGTGAGGGGACAGAGGGCTGGCAGAGGACAGAGGGGGCTGAGGACAGCGGAGCTTCTCACCGTGGTGTTCTGACACTGGATGCAGGAGGAGTTGAAGCGCACGGCAGGGATGCGTTGCACCCTCCCCTGGATGTTGAACACACACTCATAGTTCTTCTGACCCGATTGAGGCTGTGGGAGGTTCCGAGCTCGCAGCGTGATTGGACGGACCATCCCGGCGGGGACGAGGATGTCGGCGGTTGGGAGGATCTGAGGACAGCCCTGTGAAGACAGAGGAGTTTTGTTCAGACACAGTTTCACAGAATTTCTGCTGGAATCAGCCAGAAATGTCCCAGTTTCCTTCCATCTAGCACCAGGTTCTCAGACTTGTAGGTTCTGGTCCCGTCGCTCTGCAGGTCCAATGACTTTTAGACTGTTCCCCTTCCACAGACCTCCTCCTTCCTGTGTTTGCTCTACAATGACCTTGCTTCCTAAAGACTGTCCTCACTCCGCTGGCCAGAGGTTCTGATAAGATCTGGCCACACAAACAGAGACGCTGACTGACGAAAGCAGGGATCACATCTCAGTCCGTATCTGTGAGCGAGGACAGCAGCTCTGACTGATAGGGACTGATCCAAACCCTTATTAACCACCGTCTCCACGGTGATTGATTGAAGCTCCACAGGAAGCAGAAAAAAGTGGCCATTTTTCTACTGATGCTGAACTTTTTAGGATTTGTTGGGTTTAGGAACCAATCAGAGGAGGAGGAGGACCTGCTGGGTCTCCTCCTGCACCATGCATCGCCTAAATGCTCTACCTTCAGATAACTTCCATCATCTACTAAATATCTACAGCACCACGGAGTAGTAGGGCCAGGCTAGAGGGTTTTTATTTTTTATTTCGAGAATTAAAGGCACACTATGCAACATTTTTCAGTTAATTAATGTGTTCCATAACTTTTTGGATGATTAAATGAGTCATTTCAGGTCAAACAAAGGTTTTCTCGGCCGCCCTGGTGGTCTGTAGGGGAAATACCGTACTTGCTGTCGCTACCCGATCCGTACCGGTAGCACGATCCGCACCATCAGCTCATTTGCGCCTGCGCGAACAGAATAACTTCCGGGTCGCCAAAAAATAATGTAATTACGGTACTGAAAAAACTTTATTTATATCCTTAAATAATTAAGGAATACTAAACTACATTGTAAAGACAATATTGAAGACTTTTCTGGAAGAAATGGATGCTTTTTAAATTCAATCCATTGTATTGCTTGACGTCATTTTTCTGGAATAAAAATCCAAATGTTTCCTTATCAATGAAAAACTGCAGGTCAG